AAAATGTATGCATAAGTCAAAAACAGTTTTGATGAAGGCATAAAAAGTTTCCAAAACAGTTTTAAATATATAAATATAAAAAAGGGGTTCCACTTTATTTTAAGGTGTCCTTGTTACAGTGTAATTATACATTTAAGTACTGAGTAATATTAATTAACTACATGTACTTACTATATGGTTAGGGTTAGGATTTGGGTTTGGCTTTGGGTTACTTGCATGCAATTATGCATAATTAATTGTAAGTATTTAAATTATTCTAATAGTAAGTGCATGTAAAGTGTAACAGGCACACCTTAAAATAAAGTATTACCAAAAAAGGTATATCAAGGTAAAGTATATCAAGCCCTGGTAAGTAGTGCCCTAAGTTGAAGAAATATATTCCCTAAATACTTTGCAGTTCATATAAATTTCCAACAACCCCATCTGCAATTCCGGCAACCCCATTTTGTTTGTGACCCACGGTTGAGAACCCTGGGCCTAAAGCCACAAAGATTATGACAGACTGCAGCTCTCAGATATTTAAGCGACTCCCTTATGAACACAGGATAAAGTCATGATCGCAGGGCTCCCGCTTCACGCTCACCACAACGCAACGGTGCATCAATCACCTGAACTTATGGGCCATATTATAAAAACAGAGATCTCTGCACTCCTGGGCCAAGCTATCAGAGGACAGCCCAGCTCTCTGGCACTCAGCACCTCCATACAATTTCTGTTTGAAGATTAATGTTCTTGCAGCGAGTGGGTTCAGGGACGAGAGAACAAGGAGAGGAGGAAAACAAACAGCAAACAGAGTGTGCAAGCGAGAGGGGATACAGAATAACTTTGCTGCTTGTTTAGAAGCTAATCCATGATATTCCCTAAATGTTCAGTCAATGTCAAGAGAGCAAAGACAGCCTAAAGGCAATGACCCTGCAGAGTGGGTGAATGTCAAAGAGAAGATATAGAGGGCACATTGGTGAGAGTGTTATGAGACTCCAAACTGGTAACAAACCCTCAGTGTAGAAGTAAATTCACACAGCATTTGTTTAAAACAGAGTAACAGAAAAAAAAATAACTTGCACTTTGAAACCTGTTTTCAAAAGTTTGAATGACCAAAATGGCCAAAACGCATAAAATGTTTTCCATTTTTAGTTGACCAACAGTGTTGTTTAAACACCCCTAAATTAGGACACCCAGAGTTGAGCTGGAGTGGAATGATTGTAGAAAATAAAATCAAATCAAATAAAATTGGCACGATCACCAGCTGGAGTGCCCTTCATAACCATCAGAGGGCACTCCATCACATACCTCTGTTTCTCAGTCTTGGACTTCATTTCCCATAATCCTTTGCCCCGACTCATCAGCACTCATTGTTTGCACCTGTGTCTCGTTAACCCTGTCTGCTCACCCTGTATAAGCCAGGTTCATTTTGTCACTCATGGCGAAGTCTTGCATGTGTCACAGCTGCAGCCTTTTATTCTGGATCTTTTGTGTTTTGTTTTCCTGGTTCTTGATATTCTGCCTGTTTCTCTGATTAGCCCTGAACTCTGTCATTCTGAATGACCAAAATGGCCAAAACGTATAAAATGTTTTCCATTTTTAGTTGACCAACAGTGTTGTTTAAACACCCCTAAATTAGGACACCCAGAGTTGAGCTGGAGTGGAATGATTGTAGAAAATAAAATAAAATTGGCACGATCACCAGCTGGAGTGCCCTTCATAACCATCAGAAGGCACTCCATCACATACCTCTGTTACTCAGTCTTGGACTTCATTTCCCATAATCCTTTGCCCTGACTCATCAGCACTCATTGTTTGCACCTGTGTCTCGTTAACCCTGTCTGCTCACCCTGTATAAGCCAGGTTCATTTTGTCACTCATGGCGACTTCATTTATTCTGGATCTTTTGTGTTTTGTTTTCCTGGTGCTTGATATTCTGCCTGTTTCTCTGATTAGCCCTGAACTCTGTCATTGTTTGGACTGCTTATTGTGTTTGACCTCATGCCTGTTTTGACTATGATTGTGGATTATCTCTCTAATAAACTACTGCACTTGGATCCTCGGCCTTCATGTCTCCGTGCAGTTTTGTGACAAATTTTATGAACCAGGGTCAAAGAACACTCCATTTATTAGAATGCCTATTGGTTTTCTCTTTACTGTAATTCATAAATATGAGGCAATTATCCAAATCTGAATTTTGTCAAATCAACACTAAAGCCGGGCTCACACTACAGGAGTTTTAAAATCCTAACCGATTATGAAATCTGGTTGCAGCACACAAATAAGGAGAATCTTTGCAGATTATCTTCTCTCAAATTTTAAACGTGCACACACTACAAGATTTGAACATCATGGCGCATCACACACTACAAGATATTATTAAGATTATCATGCCAGAGGGAGCGCCTCACGTAATCGCCTTGTGACCAGGGGCGTGTCTACGTGGTGGCCAGGGGTGGCACCGGCCCCCCCTGAAATCTGGCTGGCCACCCCAGGTGCCCCCCCCCCCTTCAGATATCTTGCGATAGGCTTGTTTTTAGTAAATTTCTAACTGCATCTGGCAGTGGAGGATCCTGTGTAGGCAGCTGCCTAGGTCCGCTTTCTTCTCTTCTTTATACTTAATTTTAAGAGGTTTCTGTAGCGTGATCTTAATGACAATGTCGATATGTCAATGGCGCATAATGTTACGCGATCCATGTAATGGATCTTGCGTGAGCAAGAATCTCACCGCAAGAATCCGCAAGCGGATTTCCTTCACTCATACAAAATTTGAGTTTAAACTGAACCAGAACTATCTGGAAATTGTTTCCCAATCCAATCCATACATGTATTTGATCAAAAACACAGTAAACAATAATATTATTGCAATTTAAAACAATAACTTATTTTAAAATATATTATATTCCTGTGATGGCAAAGCTGATTTTCAGCAGACATTGATTCAGTCTTCAGTGTCACATGATCCTTCACAAGTCATTTCAATATGCAGATGGTGCTTAAGTTATGTATGTATGTATGTATGAATGTTTTAATTTTTTCCCCCAGGATTCGGATTTGATGTATAGAAAGTTCAAAAGAGCAGCATCAGCATAGGTAATTGTACTTTTTTGGGAGGTAGGTGTAACACTTTGGGTCTCGTAGAGTCTAAAATGGAGTCTAATAGGTTTTGGGATATAAGTGCAACTTAATTTTCAAAAATCAAATGAAAGATACAAGAGTGAAATCTCAGGAAACAAAACACTGTGAATTAAAAATGCACATAAAAATATACTTAAAAAATGAAAAAAATAAACAATAAAGGATTTAACTTTAGAAGAAATGATGACCTAATTTATAGAAAATACCTGGACACAATCAGGGAAGCCAGACAAAAGGTAAGACGCCTGAAACAAAACCTACATAACTGTAACAGTTGGTGTAAGCTGTACCACCAGATTTTAGTTTTCTTCCAATTTAATCTCTGAATATATTGCAATCCATAAAAAAAAGAAAATAAATCTAGGCCCAAAAACACTTCAGGTTGTCATTTACTAAAATGCCATTTAGGTAATTAAGTAAAAGCAACTACAATTTATTTTATGTGTGCCAGCAACTTATTAACAATGATGAATTCTGAAATTGTCAACACAAAGAGTCTTTTCCTTATTCAAATTCGATTAACTACTTTCATGTAAATGAACAGATGGCAGTAAGGATGCCAAGACAAGATTTTTTCTCAGATTCTCGGGAGGGGGAAATCGGGGCTAAATCGGGCTAAAATTTTTGTAGTGTGAGCCAGGCTACATAAAACAGCCACAATTAGTAGAAGGAGACTAAATACTTTTTTTCCCCACTGTATATATATATATATATATATATAAGTTTAAACTGAACCAGAACTATCTGGAAATTGTTTCTCAATCCAATCCATACATGTATTTGATCAAAAACACAGTAAACAATAATATTATTGCAATTTAAAACAATAACTTATTTTAAAATATATTATATTCCTGTGATGGCAAAGTTGATTTTCAGCAGACATTGATTCAGTCTTCAGTGTCACATGATCCTTCACAAGTCATTTCAATATGCAGATGGTGCTTAAGTTATGTATGTATGTATGTATGTATGTTTTAATTTTTTCCCCCAGGATTCGGATTTGATGTATAGAAAGTTAAAAAGAGCAGCATCAGCATAGGTAATTGTACTTTTTTGTGAGGTAGGTGTAACACTTTGGGTCTCGTAGAGTCTAAAATGGAGTCTAATAGGTTTTGGGATATAAGTGCAACTTAATTTTCAAAAATCAAATGAAAGATACAAGAGTGAAATCTCAGGAAACAAAACACTGTGAATTAAAAATGCACAAAAAAATATACTTAAAAAATGAAAAAAATAAACAATAAAGGATTTAACTTTAGAAGAAATTATGACCTAATTTATAGAAAATACCTGGACACAATCAGGGAAGCCAGACAAAAGGTAAGACGCCTGAAACAAAACCTACATAACTGTAACAGTTGGTGTAAGCTGTACCACCAGATTTTAGTTTTCTTCCAATTTAATCTCTGAATATATTGCAATCCATAAAAAAAAGAAAATAAATCTAGGCCCAAAAACACTTCAGGTTGTCATTTACTAAAATGCCATTTAGGTAATTAAGTAAAAGCAACTACAATTTATTTTATGTGTGCCAGCAACTTATTAACAATGATGAATTCTGAAATTGTCAACACAAAGAGTCTTTTCCTTATTCAAATTCGATTAACTACTTTCATGTAAATGAACAGATGGCAGTAAGGATGCCAAAGAAGTTCCAAAAATAAATAAATATATAAATAAATAAAAAAATAATAATAATAATAAGGTTTTTAGAGCAACACTGTAGGAGTTCTACAAATGGAAATATTGTAGTACCTCAAATAATAAATGGAGAATAGATGAATGTATGAAAAACACAGGCCCGCTGTGAAAAGAGAGAGTGTGAATTCAGGTGACATGTCCGTGAAAAACATGTCTAGTTTAAAAATGCCACTTACCCACAGTGAGCTGTCCTGTCAGCTGGCCAAGGTTATTTCGTGCATTCACCGTCACATTGCGGTCTGACTGTAAGACCAGAGGACTGTCCTGAAACAAACACAGCAAAGACAGAAACTGATTATAGGATCCTGTATAATAAAAGGAAAAATAAGACAGGAAGAAGGAAAAAGAAACAGAGCACAGTGAAATTGATCTTACAACCTCGCATCTCATTCACAACATTGCAGTTTGGTTGAGGTTAGGTAGGGTTGTTAGGTACATGTTAGAACATACCTAACGTAATAATAATAATAATAAAAATGCAACCAAAATAAAACATGAAAATAAGTAGTCTTTCATATATGCTCTAGCATTAAAACTTTCTTCAAGAAGCTCCAAAACGTCATTATTTCATTACAAAAAATAATAATAATAACAAATAAAAATAAATAAATAAAAATAAAATTGCAATGTCTGTGGGACATTTTATGTAAGCATTCAAATTATGTATTCAGAACACCTTAATTAGAAAAAAAGATTATAA